AATTCAATGTCTTGAGCCACTTTTTGAGGTGTGGTGGTTAATATTCATTTCACTACCCCTGTGAGTATAGACATTATAAACCGTATTTCTAAGGCACATCGAGTTTTAATTTTTAACGAAATAAAATTGTGCAAAGAGAGATGATAGTATGAGAATTATAATCATCTCATGGCATCATTCTTTGTTTCATACTCGAATATTGTATCCGTGATCTATCTTAGCCACCCTACGATAGCCATTATTTCTTACCCCTGTTTTATCACACAAAATATTATCTGTTTTGTACATTTTTGTGTCTGCAAAAGAAGAATCAGAACAAAACAAAAGTGCAAGCATATGGGAAAGTGCTTACGATTAAATCTACGATTATTGTTATAATTATATTCTTCTGTCTAGCCACCTTTCTGCATAGAGGCAAGACTGGCTTCTCTTGTCGATGCAGTGTTATGAAGCTCAAGGCAAAATGTAGTTACATTCCGATTTTACCTGCCTGCTGCCTTATAGTTACTACTTTTAAATTTAAAAAATTTTCATTGCAGACAGGGAAACTAATTTGGGGAAACAGCGATCTTTTTAGAAATTTTGCTGCATTTTAGACATTTTACTGGGCAACAGGGCGGTGGAGTGTCACTAGCTCCCACTGCAAAGAAGATTCCCGCATACATTGCAGATCATAAAATGCGAGAGGCCCTGAAAGATTGACCTTATTTTTCCTGCCGAAGGGGTGAACAGGTTTTATTTTAAGCTCTCAGAAGCGAGGCCTTTGTTTATTTTTATGACAGTGAGATGATAACAACTACGCAAATGCTCCCGTCATTCCCAGGAGGCCTGGCATTGCTCAGTCGCCTATAGAAATCAAATGATAACAGATGCTGCGGATTTAAAGAGATAACTGCGCTTTCACAAAAAGTTACTCTCTGCTGAGCGGTGACTATTTGGCACGTCAGTTTGCAAATTGGTCCTAGAAAGTTCTGAGTCCTTGAGAGAGAAAAATAAATTTTTTTCAAGGTGACATAACACGGGCCGATGAATCAGGAGCAGTTTCCCCCGAGTCAGGAGGGAGAAAAAAAAATTAACTCGACGATTGGGGCCCTAAAGTCTCTTTGAAAAAGAAGTGAACGTCAGTTAATGACGAAACAAAAGGTGGAAACAAGAATGACATAGTCAGATGGCACGCGGCGAAAAAATTGACGTCTTTCAAAATGGGCATAAAGTTAGTAGCAAGTCCTAGGAAATGCGCTCCTTTGACATCATTTTACTTACTGTTTCTTTTTAGGAACAGGGGTGAGTCGGGCGAGGTTTGTGGGTGACCAGGGTGAGTCGACGACCCAGAAAATGCCACCCCTCTGGCCCTTCCCTTCGGTTATCCCCATGCACATTGTTCGGGGGTGAGCCCGGCGAAAGCCACACCGGCAATTGCGGGGGACACGTAGCTGGGAAGGCGCTGCCCTCCTCGCATTTTGAAGTTTAAAAAAAAACACATCCCCTGCGACCTGAGCGTGTTGAACTTGGTCAACATATGGTACCAGCCAGCCTCCTCCCCGCCCGGGTCTTTTGTTGTCTTGTGATTGTTACCCGGCTTACTGGCCCCGTTGTAACACCCCCCTCCCCCGTTCCGGAGGTGGGGGTCCCTCCACCCTGGGGAGGCCCCGAGGAAACAGGCGTGGATTATGGAAATATGGACGGATCTCAAAGGGGACCCCGGTGAAAGGACGGGGCTCAGAGGGGAGCCAGGCACACCCCTGAAAAGATGATGGAAGATGATGCCAGAGGGATCGTTTGAAATCTTGTGTGTGTGTGTGTGTGTCGTGGAGAAAGGCAGGGCGTGTGTGTGTGTGTGCGTGTGTGTGTGTGTGTGTGTGCAGGGAGAGCGCAAGGGGGCCAGATTAGCAGTATTATTTATTCGATCCGTTTTCATTTTTTCAGGGAGGTAAGATATGTGCATTTTAATAGGCTGCGCCTCGGTGAGACTTGTTAAATCTCCAAGACGTGATCGTGTTGGGGGGGGAGACACCACAGGACTCTGGCCAGGAGTACACGCGATGTGATGCGTGTTTAACCTTTACGCGGGCGTAATTTCAAAAATTAACTTCGTGTTGGTGGTCTGTTAAGCACTTTCACAGGTACTGATGGGGACTGTTATTACCTGTGAACTCCGCGTGGTTTTCTGTAGCTTTGGGGGCCCGGTTATTCGAACACGTAGTGACAGGTTTATTCATGTGTGTTGTTCCAGACAAGCGATAAGATTGCAGCTTCTCTCGGTAAACTTACTAATTGGTAACGTGCTTCTTTTTTTTAAAAAAATGTATTTTATTGATTTTTTACAGAGAGGAAGGGAGAGAGATAGAGAGTTAGAAACATCGATGAGAGAGAAACATCGATCA